ACTACCCACTCGCGGCTATGGTTTACTGTTTCACCATATAACCCAGAACATGCATAATAAAAACAATAACTAAATAACCAACTTATTAGAAGTGTCAAATGCCAACATGAGATAGACATGTATCTGATATGGAGGTGTTTTGTTGAAAATCAGGAAACGTATCCATATTTCAAAAGATGTTGAAACACCCTTTACCAGAAGTGGGTCCTATTAAACCCGCCGCGTCGTTTTACTTTAAACCACAGCTTACAGGATCCAATGGATGATCATCTCTCGTAGTAGACCGCGAGATTTACATTTCACCACTTGATGGAGGAAGTTCACATTTTTGAATCTAGTTCGTAAGCGTAATCATAATAGATAGTTTACCAATTTACTGACCTAAAGATACATCTGAATAATTGCAGGTCATGCCCCGAAATGCGTGGTTCATGTTATCTTTAAAAAGTTAATTCTGTAGATCGGCACGAAAACTATGCTTATTAGTTGTAGTGTTTCTCACATAGCGGGATATGATACCAAATTGTCCTATAAATGTTTTTACATTTCTAGATCCATAGACCGGAGGATCCTTTGGTTAGCACTCGTTTATTACGGTATCGGTAACACATTGCTCATTACTCGCCTTTCTTTGGCGGTCACAATCGCCAAATTCGAAATTTATTATATACTATATCTCATCAACGCAAGAAAACATATGTGGGGAGAATTAATATACCATGAATTTCGTGTGCCCTCGTTCAGCTGTAAACATACCTTTATATGATCATATAAAATGAAGAAACATAAGAGTTGAAATGATTAACTCCAAGCCTATTGGTTAAGAAGAAAGATGTCTATATGGAAAATGCCTTTTCAGGAAGATGATGTAACGACAAAAATATCACGTCGTTTAACACATGTCGTAGAAAGGACGTACGATGTCGCAAGATTATTGGATGTCAACGGGAAGTTTCTTTGTCTGGATAGTAATCGAGAACAGGGTAGCTCTATCTCCAACTGTATCTATTCATTTCTATGTCACTGCGGTCGGCGGTACATCGGAAGGGCAGAACTTCACTTATCAACCAGAATGTGTGAACATATCCCGAAACACCTTGGTCTTCGCAAATGGAAACTACCATCTATTGCGATTGCCCGTCATTTGTTAGATTTCAGTAGACACACCCAAAGCGTTTCGAGTCATTGCGAGGACCAGAAGTTCACGGACCTAGCGATTCTTAGGAGCGATAGTTATTCATCGCTTGAAACCGCAATTGTGTCCAAAAAAACAACTGTGACGCAACTGTTGTTGCCATGGTAGTGATGATGTCACACCTGATATCATCCTACCATAGCACGACATAACATGACCTTCCCTCCCCTCCCTCCACCACATTCATCACATTTTTTCAAACATAATTCGAAAGGAAAAACGTAGCTTGAGCTGAGTAAAAGGTAAAAATAGGCGCTTATGTTCAAGCGATTGAACGTCAAAGTACTGTCGTTCTACATCTTACTGCTGCTCTCTAAACTCCATCATGGTGTCTTTGTGTCCCTCATCATGAGAAGATTATTATCCCTATGTTTCAGACGTATCATGTAATTCGTTCAATTTCGTAAACTAAGGGAATAATGTTAGTAAAAATACGTCTTTATACAGATGGAATAATCCTTTGTACGATCGCGCTTCACGTAACCAATTATCATCGATTTCCTGTGATAATAATATACATACATTTGTTTACCACAAATCAACATCATTTTGAATATAGAACCTATCCTTCTAAGCAGGATTGTTCACTGTTGAGATCAAGGATCCATTGCTTGTCTCTGTTTAACACAGTCAATGATAGATAGGGCTCTAAATCCATAAATTTAAGTTTTAGTACTGTCCAAACTACACACGGCTGGCGTTTACCCCTGCCCATATCGAGTTCAGTATACTAGGGTTGTGAGTTCCATCAGCTTCATTTGTACGGATGAATTCGGTAGGTATCCTCGATATTTAATTAAAGTAGGACTGTTGTCCGTCATTGGTCTTATAAAGCACACTTGTGGATTAACCCACTTTTATCAGGAAAATATTCACACAGTTTAGTATCGTGTGCGATTTCTTTCAATTATGAATGTAACAAAATAGAATGTACACAATGTTTACCTCGTACACAAATTACTTAGTAGCGTTCACAATCTTCATCTGAGCTAAAAAGCAATTTGATATATACCATGCTGTCTCCAAAGCAGATACGTTGTGTTGTTCAATAAAAATAACCGATAACAAGCATATGCGTTTGCCCTTAAACAGAAACCGTAGTTTAGTGGAGAGTTTTCTTCCATTGAACGCAAGTGGAATAACATTCTGATTGAAGCTGTGATCAGCACACGCATTTAAAACGATATGATCCATTCGACCGTTTATGTGATAACTAGTGGATCCTTAGCTAGACATGCTATTTACCAATCAGATTTAAATGAGACGCGGCTATTGGAGTTTCGTCCATTGTGAAGTGATTGACTTTTAAAAATTTATAGTACAATGGCGCACTAAAAATCAAGAATTATTTCAGTTATTAAAACAATAATAACAATCACTCAACAACATCCGGTGCAAGTAGCAGACTTCCAGGATAAACTTGAGATACACTTAACGAAAGACCTCTTTCGAAGGTTTTAAGTTAAGTTTGACCTTCAAATACGAGAAATCGGAATTATGCAGTGTATGCAGTATCTTTGAATTTTCAGAATAATACTGAATTTCGGTAAAACTCTACTCTCACGGAACGCGACACAAAAATGTTTCCTACTTCTGCGTATTTCAATTTTACTCCAAACAGTGCATCTTTTTGTAGTTTGACCTGTCGAATTGGAGATTAAAAACAGAACAGCTTTTTTGAATTCCTCGCCCCAAGTACACAGACCCACACACGCAGAAGGCGCAATCAGAAATTCACTGATGTGTACGGATACGCAACATACTCCCCGAGGTACGTTGTCAAATCCTTGGGGGGACAGATGAACCACCGGCTCTCCGTTTTGGGGCACGCCAATCCACGGTGCACTAACACGCGTGGCCTGTTCACTTGTCTTTTGAGATAAAAGACCCAAAAAAATCAAATACATGTCGTGTATTGGAATGGATGTTTTTCTTTTAGGTTGTTTTGAACAGCTGCACCGAGCAATCGAACATGATTACACAATCGGAAAAGCGTGTGGGAGAGAGAGAGCGAGAACAGACGGTGCACGAGTTTGATTGAACAAACATATGTTTTCCTTCAATCAAACCCCGTGAAAATGTGGTAATATTTGAAAGTCCATGATCGCAACAATTGATCATGTGTTGACATGCGAAACAAGGAAAAAGTGACTGACAATGGTTTTACCGGAACAGAACCGAGCAGAGCTGTTTGGTTTCTAAAAGCGTGATGTTACTGTTGAGAGGTAAATTCCCACATATATACGGTCTTGATAATTATTCAGTAAGCGTTGTTGGTGAAAAATATCGAAGAGATCACGTCCGTAACAAGTGATATCAATATAAATTCTAATGATCGATCTCGTCTGCTGCCTCAGTTGTAGGTTAGGTTCTGAATCAACAAAAAATCAAAGATGGATTTGACAGGGAGAATAGTGAAGCAACTCATTGAAATTCGAATGTTTAGCCTTGTACTCAATTTGCTTTCAACTAAATCTATGTTCTCATTCATAAGTTAAAAAATCGACCTACTTCTAAGATCCTAGGCTGGTATAAATGGATTTTTTAGTGTTCAAATTTATGTCATTAATGGGCATTCAGATTTCAAATAATCTTACGAGGATATCGATCCGCTTCCCCATAGGAGAATACCACCTCAATTGAGGGAATGAGTATTAATTAAGGGGTTCTGTTTGGGAAAGCTCGATTCCTTGTCAGTTTAATGGTTAGTGATTCACACCTGAATAAACGAAAGTTTCAAAAGCAGTTCTTTATTGTTGAGAGTTTAAACGAGGGTATATTTTTAAGTTAGAATCCGAACAATGAGTTGAAAATGACACCTTGATGGGCGACAAAGTATTTCACTTCAAGTTAGGATTAAAGTCCTTGTGATTACTACAGATTCGGAAGCTCTACAAAGTGGTCACAATCGATTGACTGGCTGGTAGGTTTGACCTTTTTTAGATATCGACGTCTTTTGTCAAATGTAAATGCCCGGAGAATTGGAGGAAAATAAATTTCTGTGCAAACCACAACTCCTTACAGCAGCCTTATGATATTCGCATCTTCGTACATTCAATAAACAGAGGCAAAATTGAAACAGAAAAAAAAGTATCAGGTTCTCAAAATCGGCAACTGCCTCAATTTAGACTATCCGATGCAATACTTTACTCGGCTTCTTTTATCTAAATCCATTGGGTAAAATTCGTTTCTTGATCTTAAAATAGTTGCAAGCGTTTTTACTTCAGACTGAATCTATCTGGAATCTGTCTCGACACACAACTTAAGCTACAGTCTATAGTAACTGAGAATACCTTTCGGAAGGATCAGTTATCATTTGAGATTGACTTTTATTTGTAAAAATCGATTTTACATTTGAATAACAATGACCCAGGAGGCATTTCGACACAGACGTGGTCAGTGGGAACAAAAATGAAAAAGACACGTCCTAAGATGGCTTGAAAAACGAATTCACAGCTAATCATTTGGTCATAGTTTCATAGATCTGAGGTGTTCCTTAATAAAGAGATCCTGTGAAAATCTGCCATTGGTCCCGTTATCTAGGTATATGAATTCCACTGTTGTGAGCAATTCAGATTTCCAAAAAAGGTTTGAAAAATTGCCGCAATACTATATTATCAATCACTCCCAAGCGTGTTCAATCTTTCAAATTGTTGCCGAACTTTAATGTACACGGCGATCAACAGACAAAGTGCAGCTAACATTTAACGGTCAACATGTACAAATCTTTAAAATCTAATTGACCTCAAAACCCGTTGATTTCCATAAAGGAGCAATACATCACCCAGNTTATAGATGAACTCACCAGATGCAAAGTTTCCTAGATAGTCTTCACCATCGTTACGACTGTGGTGTCCTGCGAAAATCATGCTTGAACCGGACAGATACCGTGATCCGTTCTGATCGAGCGTATGAAAACTACCGATTGTTTGACTTTTGGAAGCCGCGTCCAAATTACTCACACTGGCGACACGAATTTCCGACTGAGGTGTATAGGCTCCTCCATTCAATGCGTTCGTAGTTCCCACTAGATCACGATCAGTGGGTAAGGCGAGCTCAGACTGGTGCAACCAATATGACTGGTGTTGCGGACGTCCCGGTGTAGTACGCACGGTATTGTTGCTACTCGTTGGGGATAAGGCACTGAGCACAGATTCTTCTGTAGTAGAAGAAGGACTCGGTTGGCCGCAGGACAGACTACCGCCGGCTGAACGATTGGCGGAATTTGGATTTGACTCCCGAAGGAAAACTGTGGACGTCACTGAATGCGATTTAGTGTGTTGTGGTTCAGCAAGTTTGAATGCTCCGCGTTGTGCGGGTACACTGATTCCGGTGGTTTGGTTGCTGATCGATGAAACCGGTGTATATGTTATGGAGTTCGAGCCACCATTCACAAGACATTTCGCATTGTCCGTCTGAACAGATTCATTAAAAACACGAAGGTTGAATATTTATTTCTTATAATTAGCGAAACGCAAGCGTGAATAACGAGGCATTCAGAGAATCAAGATATCCCAGTTGATTCAAATTTCCCAGACCGATCTAGTGTGTGTGCGTGATGACCAACAGGTAGACGAATGACTGACTGGGTGAGTGACCTTGTCATATGTGTGTAGGTGGGTGTTGGTGGATGGACGGATGGATGAATGAGTGCTAGCGTGCATCTGTGTACCGGTTATTTAACTGTGGTCAGCTGTTGGTGTTGCTGGCACCACGCTTGGTGTGTTAGCTGACAAACAGATACAAAAGGACATGGACAATCAATGGTTTTCCAAAGGAAGCACATACATACTACCCCATTCACAAAGATGGGAATGTACAGATTAGTCTACGGGTATTCGTGTGTGTATGTCTGTGTGCAAACACACACACACACACACAAGCACGCAAACGGCCTCACCATCTCCTACCTATAAAACCCAGTGGGCTTCCAACAAGAAGGGTGACCTCAGTAAACCAGACACTTGACTAGAAGAGGTCGGCGGTGGTGGTGATCCAGACGGGTCAGTGTGGACATCGCTCACATCCCCCCCCCACTCCCACCGACCCATCCCCTTCTTAATCCGGAAAACGATAGAAAGATGGGAGATTTTCGCGATGCACTTCAGAGACAAGGAAGTATATGTGCCTACGGGCACCTTGCACAGACACACACACAACATGTTACGCAAACACATCGGGAAATCATATATGCCCAATTCAACTTCTACGTACGGAAGACACGCGTAAGTACACGCACTTAACCATATGTGCCCACCGCTCGTAACCGCCTTCTCTGACCCCCAATCCCAATCGTGAGAGTGCTCCGCCACCCTCGTGTTAAACAGAATGCACTGTTACGGGGTGCAGAATCGCAGTTTTCTCAGGTCATGGTCCACAAAAGTCCGTAATGTTTGTCTCCGTTTCCCTTTCCTCTCTCCCTCTCGGAACTTGGTATCTCTGAAATACAGTAAACATGTTGCCGATGGAGCAAAAGATGGACAGATAGATAGATGGATGGGCAAACAGGCAGGCGGGCGGGCAAACAGACGGACAGATTGATAGACAGCCGTTTAGAGAAACAGACAGGTAAACCCGGATAGACAATCTAATATTGGCCATAGGTACGAAATCTGACGTTTGAAGACAAGCGAACATATCCCGTAATGAACAGTCAAAGGACGGACGACAGCACCAAGTGCACAGTGAATTCATTTGACCGGCGTGCGCGACAAATAAGAAGCACTTTAAATCGATGAGTGTGCAGACTGAACGACCTCCAGCACCGGTCGTAACGTCCGGGCTAATGACACCTGTATACGGTGAACCGCCAATTTTTTTTTCCGTTTGTAAACGGTTTCAATTATCACACACAAAATTGTTTAAGTTGTCTTTAGCGTGAAATTCGGAGTATGCCACAATATGTTGAACGTTTGGGTGCCAAATTCTTTCAGAGCACTGATTGTTTTTTGAAACATTTAAAAGAATGTTCCTAAATCATCAACGGTGCCTGGTGCCTGTGAAAAACCGAATGGGCTAATCCAAACATGCACGATTTAAATGTTCCATATTATTTAACAGTCAAACAATTTGTCATTTTTTTCAAGAAGGCAACATGACAGAATGTATGATCCTTCACAGAACTTAGTATTGCATAACACTGACAATCTGGATGTCGAATAATTGAAATTTTATCTAGTCCGTGATGAAAGGAAATCGTTAAGATTAACCGGTTTAATCTATTTCCACCCGTGGATTTAAAAATATTCGTTTGAATGATGATGATTTTCTAAACAAGTAAACATTTACCAGTTTTATGACTAACAATGGAATATCCCTTTGCAATACGTAAGGAACAACCAAATTGTAATCACTGTCAAATAAATAAACAACCCATTTATATATATAGAGAGAGAAATAAAAATAGACACATATTTTGCAAATCTCAAAAACATAATCAATAGAACAAGTTTGCTTGGATTTATTTTTTTTCCAAAACTGTTTATCGGTTCACGATCATTTCATTGATGATCAAGTTATTGTGTTTTTTGGCTGTAATGTACTACCATGCTGGAATTGACTTGGTCCTTTTCCGTTTTTTTGCAAGAAATTCCAATAGTCATACTATGGGATATGGAAAATTGTCATAACAGTTGGCATTCATGCATCGACTCATTGCCCTTGAATCCATAGTCTGTGCGAATTCTCGATTTTCACCTTCACAATGGTTTCAAAATTTAAATTTATTCTCTACTTCTTCATCGGAATGGACAGTCAAAATGCGGCAGACAAAATCGCACCACGATAGTGCCCGGTTAAGTATCCCTCAAACTGGAACTGAAAACCTGAACAAATCTCGTGTGTGATACTTTAATTTAGCTGAAACTTGTGTGAACATACTGCATAGACATTTATACCATGCGTCAGGAACTGCGAACACCGAATTTCCAAATCACGATCTCAGTTTTACCTCTGTTGGTTCCAAACTACCAACTAATATTTACTGACTTGTAAGTTTTAATCAACTATTGAATTCTCCATGTTAAAAATGAGACACCGAATTGTGTCTTTTATAATGTTTACAGCGATATCTTCAAAATACCAAATATGATGCAATAAATTAAATGAGTGACTGATGGATTACTCTCAAGCAATGAATATTCCGCTCTTCACAGTTTGATTTGACCTTACATCCAGAAAAAAGATTAGAAAAAGATTAGTTCAACAACGTTCATACGAGTTCTGCTGAAAGTTCAGGTTCCTGTTTGGGGGCTGACGTATCATATAAACGCATGAACTTGGTTTCCGCATTTTCATGACAAGCAGATTATTCAACTCCAGTCAAATTATCATTGATACGCACCAAAACCTAATGATTTCGTAAAGCATTCATATAAATGTATACCGTCACTTATTGGAAATAAACTTCGGCAAAACTCTTGCATGAATAAATCAGTTAAAAAGCAAAATGATCTTAAATTAAATGTATGCGATTTTTTTGATGCCCACATGCTACTCTGTAGATACTTGCAAAGAATTTCTATTTCATATAAGCGCGAAAACACTAGGCAGCATCAGCTGAAAGATGACCCAAGCCAAACCGTGACTCAATCCAAAAGTGGACTATCCGTCCCACTGAAATAACATGGTTCATCTCGTCACGTCTCTGGCCCTAAGTTATCAGCTCCCTAAATCAGTGAGGCTCTATCGCATGGTCCACAATACACCAATGACTACTCGTCTAAGTCCTATGATAGCAGTTCGGATAGGAACCCGTTTTCTGTTTTGTCTATCGATTTATTTGCCGAAGCTCTTCAACAGATCGGTACAACTCTTCCCATAACCGCATGGCTGAAACCGAAAACTGTCAACTCCGATCGCCTTTCACATGACAGTTTATTTTGCCTGCAGACCACGCACCATCTACTAACCACTTAAACCAAATGAAGTTGTTGGTTATTTCATTTATTCCTATTTCTTATCTTGTAAACATGAAGCCAAATACACAGAATTATACATTTCTTAGTAGAAGAAACAACGATACTCCCAAAGAAGATGTTCCGATTATGCAACACTAATGATATATAAATTAACAACTCCGTTATTCTAACTGCTATATCTAAAATTTGATAACATTTGCCTTCATTTTATATTTCGGTGACGGATGGTAAATCTTAATGGTAGGTGGATGTAAAACACGAAATTGCATCCGTCTGCACAACAGAGGCATATTAGGAGAATTGGGTAAGCGAAAAAAGTGAAAAATGAAGGTTAACCCTTTTCTTGCACTACCTCGCAAATCAAACCTGAACTACATGTCAAACAATCTACTATTGTGACATGTACTGAATTGAAAAAATAATTTCCCCTGATCTCCTCGTGATTATATATATATATATATACATATATATATATATATGATGTTATGCATGAAAGACAACCTTTTAATGTCTCCACTGAAACTGATAACAGTCGCGGTTTCAATTTTAAAGGAACAACTCGTCAACAGATGTTTCTGTTTTTTCCAAACGAGCATTCGGATGGAGGTCGGATTCCAACGTCAAACTAGGCACTTAAAACGTTGGCATTCAATGTCAAAAGTCCGAATTGCTGTTGAAAAGAATTTGCTCTTTTACGAAAATTTTCGAAGCAGATAGAATAATTCCGCATTTGACTCGCGATTACTTGTGAGTAGTGATTTGGGATAATTGATTCCTATTGATTTGAGCTGACTGATGAGCTCTAATAGGAGCGATACTCGAGTCTAGTGCTTTCAAGTGTATGGCTGAATCGATGAACTGAGGATTGTGCGTGAAGGTGAAGTCCGAAGGATAGTCAGCTCAAAACAGATAAAACAAATCCAAAAAGTGTCTCATTATATAATTCCAGAATTTATTATTGGAATCCTAATCGCGTAGAACGTAAGGGATTTGTTTTCGGTCTACAGTCCTTATCTATTTTGCCAAATGATTATTCTAGTATGAAATGATGTACGCACAGTTATAAATCCAAATTTCACTTTCCTCATCCAATTCAGACAAACTAATTTGAATTAACCCATGGTGTTACGCAAATGGATCAATAAAATGAGAATTGAGTTAAAGATCATCATGCTTGGTCCACACTTGATGGCTCAATTGAATTTCACCAATGATAATTCGTAATACAGGTCAAGTTGATAAGTGAGAATAGTAATGAAAAGGTCAATGCAATTTAAATGTTGCTGATTAATGAAAATCAATGAAAAAATTATTTAGCGACTAATAAAGTTAAAAATCGCATGACCGGATATAGTTCCGAAAAAGATTACAGTTTGGATACATTATTCACCCCGCATCAAGTAAAGTAAAGCTTTATGCACTCAATATAATACGACTAGTAAAAGCACGAGCAGCGCGGTTCATTAAGCCTTAGCAACCCTTGCAACGATAAATATAGATAGCTTTCATTGTGACTTTAAACTTCTGTCTCCTAATAAATAAGTGGGTGCCAATAACAGAAACATTTATTCCTTCGTTATGAATATGTCGAGTTCTCTTAGAATTGCAAAAACATTGTGCAAAAAGTTCGTTAATTCAGCATCACGTTTTGAATGGAAATTACAAAATTGTTCTTTGTGTTTTCCTTTTCACATTAGATTGTTGAACATAAATGATTATTCAACAAAGCGGTTTAAAAGTTTGTTTTTTCTCACACTCATTTAAGTTCTCAGAAAATTGTGGTCCTGACAGCTGACTGGCGACTTCGACGTTAACGGGCGTACATTAGCATGCCAGGGTAGATCCTGTTCCCAAACTAAAAACTGTAACAGCAAACTAGTTCCCGATCACTGCGAAAATGGCATATATTTCTTAAATTTTATTGGGAGCGGTCTGTTAGTCGTATTTTTTCTATTTTTCAACCTTGCTAAACCGCAGTGTCAACTACCTGATTCACGCGAAGGAAATGATCTGTTGATTGCAGCTTTAGGTTGCAAGTAAGATTAAGAAATGATTGACATTAACTTGTATTAAATAAAGTACTTAATCGTTAAGCTAATTGTTTTATAACATTGAAAGTATTGAATCGTTACCGTTCAGGTGGAAACACATTCATTCAAAACAACATTGCAAACTCTCACAAATGAACAAATGAAACCATGGAAGAGCTCTTCTGTGATTGTTTAATTTGATAAGAAACTTGCGTATAACGCATAGTTGCACATTTTAGTCAATTCCCGAAGCCCTTTACTAGAACTTTCATTTGTATATACGTATTTTCCTGTATGC